CGCGCTCGTTGCCTAATGTTTTCCCGTGTATGAACGCCGCCCGAAAAATACACGCGCACAATTACACGTATCTCGAATCACCGTGGAATTAGAGCTCGATCCGCCTCGTTTTTCCACCGCGATATCGCGCGAAATGCGTTCAAACGTTATCCCCTCCCCTTCCCTCTGGCGACGAGCAGACCTGCATCAACCCGAATATGCAGTAATACATTAGCAAAGCCCAGCCCAATGGAACGTGCATCTGCATGATCGTCGAACGTTTATTTGGATTTGTAATCACTTACGAAATCCCTCCCCCCCCCCTCCCTTGAATGAAACTCATCCCAGGAATTATTGGAGTGGGACGCGACGCCCCATTCCCCCCCCCCCCTCCCATCTTCTTCGCCGATTTTCGATCGATCGAAATCGGTTGCTCGATCGATAAAACAAATTTTTTCGGCTTGTTTATTATCTCGATTCGTCTGTTTGGAAAAATTATTAAAAAAATAACATTTCTTTCTACGAATAAACAGTAAATAAACGATCGATTTAGATCGATTTAGATGTGAAGATAGGTTTCGTGTTTTTACTCGAGCTTGGCAACAATGGAGGAATTTATTAACCGATCGAAATTTACGTTTTCCTAATCGCTAATTGGCCAATTGGCTCGCGCCAATTTTTGCTATAATAAGGGCGGGCGGGCGACGAGTGGACGCAGATGGAGCCACGTCGAAATCGCGTTCTCCAATGATGATCATCCACGTTTCTATATACATTTTTCATCGAAAGTTTTCGAAAGCAAGTTTTTCGAATGTTCGAGGTGAAAGTGTTGGGTTGATCGAGTAGTTGGACAATAATGTTAACAATTAGAATGTTGGACAAGCGATCGAGAATGAGTGTCTTATGTATCTATTATAATTAAACGTAGGGGAAGAATAGGAAGAAGGCACTCTAACAACGACGATTATCATTTTGAAATTTATCGTAAGAAAAAATGTAAAATGTAAAAGTTTATTAATTGAATGGAATTTTCTTCTGTAATTTTTACAAATTTTCGAATAGTAAAAAAAAAAAAAAAAAGAAGTGACTTTTTACATTTCGAAAACGAGAGTACTACATTTATAACGTTGTTACGCAAGCCCATTGTGAATCGTGGGTCGCGTGAGAATCATTTGCGTCGGTGTAAAAAAAAAAGAAAAAAAAAAATAATCGTAACGCCCTTGACGATTTGCAATGCTAATGACGTGGCTCCTGACTTTTCATTTCTCTGCAACATCCGAAATTATCATATAAAGTCGCCTCTCGTAAATAAATTCTTCGTTGTGCGCCCGTCTTGGGATCCTTTATCTTTTTTTTTTTTTTCATTTATCTCGTGTAAAATTTTTTTAATAAATCGGTACATTAAATTACTGTGATGTTAGAAACAATGTTGGGTGGAAAAAAAGAAGAAAGGATAATTCTCAGAAAAATAATATTTCCACTGATTCTCTGTTTCTCTAAAAGAAAGAAAAGAAAAATATTTAGTCGTACGATAGTTGCGAGAAAAAGATCGTATATCGTTATCATCGTTAATTTTATTCGTAACGTGTAATAAAATATTTTGAATAAATATTTACTCATCCCCAATTTATCGATAAGTTAATAAATATATCGAATGAATTATTATTATTTACAAATTATGAATTAATAGCGACAAATATATTTAAACGGAATGACAGATGAATTTTCTGGTTGATGGAAATCGAATATTAGGATAAATGTATGGCCTCGTGGCGTCTGATGCTCGAATGTAGGTTGCCACCTTTTTTTGCTCCAAATTTTCCAGGGAAAGAATCCGGTTAAAATAGCTGCTGCCACCTAGTTGGGTCGGTGGGTGGGGACGACCTCTTCTTGTAAGGCTAAAACGTGCAACGTATCCGGGGAACAAGAAGGGGTCCGCCGCGGATTCGTGTTTACCTAGTCTTTTATGCTAATGCCGAGCTCTAGAATACACTTAGAAAATTTTATGTGACAGCGTTTCAACCGCGGCCTGTATATTCATTTATCTGGAAAACCCCCTTCTTCGCTTGAATTTCATTGCCCAATGACAATGGCGAAACTAAAAGCCGAAATTAAATTATTCGTATTCGTAGAATGTATTCGTATTTTTTGGCCGTTTTTCAATCCTTTCCAAAATTTTCAAAAGACTCGCTTTTGCCAACCATTTACTGTCGATGAGCTCGATTTGGAGGATTTTTTCTGCGAAGAAGTTCGAAACGCGTTTGCGTCCAATTGACGTGACTTGAACGAAGATTTCGAAGAATTTAAAGAAGAACTGTTGCAACTCCTCTTAATGAAAGAGCGGGTGAAAAAAGCTGTATCGAAAAATGGCTTCGATCGATCCTCCTCCTCCGTTACGAACACTTTGTTCGAAAAGTTGTTCGGCTCGAAATACTTGTTCCAGCTCTCTCATTCCAAACATACGGCTCGAAACTGTCTCGAAGATACTTGTTGGCGTTTATCGATCCGAGTTTAAACGTCTCTGTTGAAGCGTGATACGTGGTACAACTCGTTTCGAAGCGAAGTCTTTCTGAAAAAGTTACGTCACTACTTTGCTATCTATCTCGCGCCTGTTAATGATTAATTGTTATATTGCCATGGAAACATATGTTCCATGCCGGATAACCAGCCATCCTCCGCTCGTAAATCATCGCGCCTGTGATTCGTTCACCCGGTTATTTTCCTAAAGCGTGTTGCGATCTCATTTATCGAATGATTTATCCCCGAGTTAAATTAATAATAGTAGTAATAATGTGGAAGTAGAATATCTTTATTTTATTTCTCCGATATTTCGTTGCTATTCTTCCGAAAAAAAAAATTTGGAAAAATTCTAAAGAAAAAAGAAAAGAAAAAAAATACACTCGTACACAAGTATTTATTTCCACAGTTCAATCGAGTACAATCGGCAGAAATAGAAATAAAATGTGATAAATGATGCAACTTATCTACAGATAAGGTAAACTATATATAAAGGAAAAACTACTTAATTCCGAATTTTTCACTACATACTTTCTTCGTTTCGAAATTGTTATTACCGATCTTATAGTAATAATCTTAATTGTTTCAAGTGGTGGAGCAAGATAGACGCACGATGTGAAAACGAAAAGGGGGGAGGGATTCGACATCTCGAGGAGTTGCGTGAAGTTGGCGACATAATGTTGAGTTAGGCCGTGTAAATAGAAGAGTAGCGACCGAGAGCTAGATGAATCTCTTGACTGAACAATACCTCTTTGTCGACTTGCAAACGGCTGTTCCACGCTTGCAAACAACTACTGGTGCTTAGCTATGCAATAACGATACCTGCCTTGCCGTTCGCATTGTTATTTCTGCGAGAAACTATACCTATCCCACTCCTTCCTCTTATCGACTCGAGTTTCATATTTGACACTTATTTACCGACGCGTACCCTCTCCACACGCGTTTCTTCGACGTCGACGTCATTCCTCGTTGCGAATATTTCCTTACGTTCGCGAAGAAATTATCAAGAAATTCTCTCTACGATTTATCTTCTCAACCAATTTCTTCATTCTTGTTCGACACTTTTGCATCGCTTAAAAGTATTCGCTCGAAAATAAAAAAATATTGTGTTAAAGGAGAATAAGAAAAATGAATAAATTCATTTTAACATGCATGCATACATAAATAATCAAGAGTTAGAAAGAAAAAAAGAAAAGCTCGAGTTTAAATCACGAGTAATAAATAATGTCCATACGAAACAATACTATTGTTAAATCCACCGCAAGAAGAGCGAAAGAAAATCGAACTTGACCATAATTTAATTACGCGCGTAATCGTGTCAAAAAAAAGAAAAAAGGAAGAAGAACGTGCTCGTTTTAAACACACCGTCCTCTTTATTGTCCATTGTTGCCCGTCGTTGAGCATTTGCTCGCGCCATAAACGTCGAACATCTTTTATACCGTTTCATCCGCTGCAACCGTGGATCCTCCGCGTCTCGAGGACGTTGCTCGACGGCACAAAACGCGTTCCAACTTCTGTTATCTAATCTCGGAGAGCCATTCCGTGGCTCTGGCTCGTCGTCGTCTGGTGTCGCCAGTGAAGAAGTGTTTACTCGCAAACACGCCTCACCTTCCATGTGCATCCGGTTTTCACTCGTGGATTTCATCGCACACGCAGGTATGCGGAATTCGTATCGGCGATATATGGCATTCTTCTTCTTCTTCTTCTTTTTAAATAGTTTCGTTTCGATCTGTCACGAATACAAGGAATCGAAGGGGAAAAATAGAAACGAATTCTTAAAATAGTTTGTCAAGGAAATTGTGGTGAAATTTTTGTGGAATACCCTGTGGTGGGCCTTTGATTCTATAAAAAGAAAAAATTACTTTCTCTATTCGACGAAAGTTAGTCAGAATCGGTTCGATTTCGAGTAAAAGCCTCCGATCGAGTCGAGTCGAGTTCTCCACCTGCGGAACGATTCCTCCTTCGCATCGATTGCCCTCCAATTCCCGGCTTACAAGCTGGTAGAAGCTCGCACGGAACACCGAACGACCACTCCACCACCACCACCACCACTACCACCACCACCACCACCACTACCACTACCACCACCACCACCATCCCTCGACACGTCCCAGAAAACTAAGAACGCTCGTTCGTTGCAGATGACACTCGGCAGGCCGTCGTCGTAGGGTCGACGCAGCTTTCCACCTCCCTCCACTCGCCGAGAAAATCACCATGATCGTCGAAACGCTCGTAAGAATATCATAATCCATCCCCGCAACAACAACAACAACAACAATATCCTGACACCGCAACAAGTAGCCAAAGTAGCGTGTATATAACCCAACCTAATCGGCGAGTCGAATAAAAAACGTAAAAAACTCGTAAAGAGAGAGAGAGAGAGAAAGAAAAAAGAATTCGAAGCGAGGCAAGACGAAGAAGAAGAAGAAGAAGAAGAAGAAGACAAGGATCGAAGGCGGAGAAGGAAGAGGAGAGAGTAAAAAGAGGAGGAGAAAAGAAAAGAAAAGAAAAGAAGGGAAAAAAACCGCGACGAGGAAAGCGTGGAAGCGTGTGTGGCAAAGTTGGAAGGAAAGTGGAGCGTAAATGCTCGCAGAGGCGCTTAAGCGGGCTTACGCGCGAGCAAGCGTATCGTGAGCCGGCTTCGTAACGTGAAAACGTGTGAGGGATGCGGCCCATGGGCGAAGGGTGGGGTCTTTGGGCACCGATAAGGCTTATCCGAAGATACGATGGCCGGCTGCTCGGCTCTTGTCGCCAGTCGTAGTGCTCAGGTGGCCGAGGCGGGATCGTCGTGCGCTTTAATTCACGCTCCGATATCGCGGGTACGCGTCTGTTCCGAGTATCACCATCGCTATCGCATCGGCCTGGCCGGGATCACCGGTTCGATCGAAGGGAGCCACGCGTGAGGACCACGGGACCCAGGTGGCCAAACGGTGTGCTCCGCAGGGGGTGACGACTGGATCGACCGAGGAACAGGTTCGAATCTCATGTGCATGATACGATACAGTGGGGGAAAGGATCTATAGTCGGGTATATAGAATCAGTAGAGAGAAAACTTTTTCAACTTCGAAGGATTTGTCGAGAGAGATCAGATACGAATCTGATATCGTGCAAATAGATTTCTATTCCATTTTTCTTGTACGATAACTTTCTTCTCTGTAAAATTGTATCGACGGATATTACAGACGAGGCGCGCAACCAACGAGGTGACCAGCTCGTGTCGAATGTTTACGTTACGTTTTTTCGTCTTCGCGTTATCTCGTTACAGCTGCCACGAAATTTCTCTCGAAACGAGCGAGACGCGTTTATTTCTTTCTATTCCCTTCTCGAGATGTATCGAATTTCAACACTTGTATCCCATAAACGTTCAACTTCTCGGTCATCTCCGTTCTTCTTCTCGCTCATTCCATATATATATATATATATATATATATATGTACAACACTACAAATGGGAATAGAATCTCGTGGAAAACTCGTTCTCTGAATCGTCGTCGTCGTCGAGATTTTAATTCGACGTCTCAAAGCGGCAAGAAGTGGTCAGCGAGGTGGAGGAGGAGGAGGAGGTCGAGGTGGGAATAGAGTGGCTGGAAGGAGCACTGGTCGTCGTCGTGAAACAGAGCTCCGTCGTCGAGCCTACGACGGGAACGCGCGGGAGAATAGAAGCGGGAACGAGAAGGAAGGACGACGAAGAGGGGGAGCGCGTGCGCGAAGGACAAAAGAGTTAGAGGAAGCAGAAGCGGAGAGAAGGCTTCTCTTTTCCTGCGCGCTTTTCTCAGCCCGCGGGCGCCGTTGCCGGTACCCTTCTTCTTCTTCTTCTTCTCCTTCTTCCTTTTCTTTACCTTCCACCGCCCTCTCCTCCCTTCCTTCCTTTCTTCTTCTTCTTCTCACCCCCTTCAGCCAGCGCGCTAAATTATTCCTGACCCCCTTTGACACTTGACAGTGGTGGCAGTTCCGGTAATTGTGCCTCCTCTATCTTCGCTCTCCAGACTCGAGTTTCGCTTTCCTCGCCTCCGCCCGTCTCAACCGGAACTGTTTCTTCCTCGCCCTTTCTTCCCTCCAATTCCAAGCTTCCCTTCGAATCGATTTATCGTTCAATTCGATTTATTCGATGGATGTTCGGTGAGTGATCGGCACATCTTGAAAATATTTTCAAAATTGTTTTCGACAATTTTCCAAGAAAAGTAGATGACACAGATTCTCGATAAATAATAGTTAACAAATAGAAATTTAAGGATCCTCGAAGCATGGAAACGTTTTTTCGCTTCGAGTTATCGATTAATTGCAACGATTAATGCGAACGATGATCGGTTCGTATTTCTTTCTTCCTCGTTGCGTTTCCCAGACGCTTCCCAACTGGTGCACCATTCGAAACAAAGGGACACTCGACTCGGCGAAAATCCCCCTCCCCCCGTAGAAGGTGGTGGAGATGGTCGGCGAGACCCGGCAGTTTCTCATCTCTGCCCTATTTTCCAACGCCTCTGCGGTAAATACCGCCGGTGACTTGGACCCTTGCCCTCGAGACACGGGGACAAAGGGAAGTTTCTGCGCGCGAGGAGAGGTGTCGAGAGCGTGGACGATAATTCTTCAAGAAAATGATCTCGATGGATCTCGGTTTGTTCATTTAACTGGCCATTAACGGTGATTATCTTATTATAAAAAATTTTTCAGAGTTTTAAAAAAAATAGTGGTATTCGATTCCTTGAGATTTTGAGACTTTAATACTCGATCTCGGAAATCGTCCAACTTTTTTCATCCCTCTTCCAAAGACTTTTGTACCGCTCTTAATAACATAACCTTGCAAACGCACCACCGCTCCTCCTCGGCAAAAATTTAATCCAATTCGAGCCAATCTCACGAACACTTTTCCCGTATACACGCCCACCATGCCATACCTGTATCGTACGCGTATAAATCGTTGCATTATCCCACGCAATTATTTCCATCCATATTTATCCTGTTATACACTGTTTACTTATTATACACGAATACCCTACGTTTCATCCTTAATTAACCCGGCCGTAAAGAAGAGGCATGCCTCTTCCAAATTGTTCCTGAAGAAGCTTTTTGGAGATGTGGATGTGCGTTGTTGTTGTTGCAGCGCGCGAGGAACACAGGTGAAACAGGAGGGAAATCGGAGTAATCGGGGATAGTTGGAACACCTGGTAATACGGGTACGCGCAACGAGTCAATTAAAAGTTTAAGTTTAATTAGAAACTCGGCTCGTATACGCGCACATGCATACGTCCAACACACACCGATCTCCCTTAACGCCCCTCTTCGCTCCCCATTTCCGGTGACCGTCTTCACACCGTCTTCCTTTTTCCCTTCCTCGAGTCCTCCACTTCCTGTATCCGATTTTCCATTTCCTTCCCCCATTTGATTATTATACCGACAACGTTCAATTGTGCTGGGAAAAAGTTTGGACTTAGTTTTGAGATTCGGGTTTTGGGTGGAATAGTTGGAAACGATTCTGCGATGCTTTGGTTGGGTAGAACTAAGTCGTGTTAAATTTTTTTATTAAATATTTTTACGTATTTTTAGGTATTGTATTGTTCTAAATGTGTATGTCGTTGTAAAATTTTGGAATAGGATGGAAAATTTAATATAATTTTATTTTGGGAATGAAGAAGATGAAGGTGATACTTTGTAGAGTATTTTGATAAATTTTGAAATATCTTTTATTTTATTTAAATGTATTTCGTTTATTAGAATAGTATTGGTTCAATTTGAATAGAAAATTTTGAAGATAAATTTTCAGATATCTTTTATATTTAAATGTACTTTCGTTATTATATAGTATAGAATAGTATTGGTTCAGTTTGGAGTAGGATAGAAAATTTGATTGATGATACTGGATAAAGAAGTTGGAATTAATTTTATGATCAATCAAATGAATCTCTTCAGTAATGGAATATTCTGTTAATTTGAATAAATTTTGGCGCCTTAAATATTCTTCAAATGTGTGATCCCTTTAGATGTACGAAATGAGTGGAATATAATTTTTCATTATTAGTTGGATTCTATTATATCACACAATGGAATCAGATACAAAGAGATGAAATATAGAAAGAATGAAATTATCTCACGTGCGTGACTTATCGAGTAATATGTATAATTCGATCACTTAACGTGATTTTTATAAACCGAGCAATAAAAACGATTCGTCGATCGCGTTATGTCGTAGCCATCAAATTTTCAAATTTCGTTTCCAAATAAGCGATGTATATCGAGTTTCCCGATGGGATCAATATTGTCTCTTGTATAGAAATGGATTCTTAGGTATTGATACAACTCGTTTTTTTGTGGCAAAAGCTACCTTTACAGTTCGATCTTCATAAAATCAATATGTATGCAAGTTTCATGGTCTAGATTCATGGGGATTTGTCTACCTGTTTCCGTTCTTTGCAATCGAAATTTTCCAATTACCTGAGCAAACGTGGATCTGGAACGCGTTTCACGAATCGTGACAACATGCAAAAACGGATAGAATTTTTGCGCTGACTTTAAAACGGCGTTACATTTTTACATTCGCGGCACGGATGATTTTCAAACCAGGGCAGATACAGGCAGTCGTTGAAATAATTTATCGATAGGAAAGAAAGAGAGAGAGAGAGAAAAAAAAGGAGAAAAAATTCCAATAACTCGATACTTTTCCATAAATATATCTCGATTAATAAACGCTTCGTACAATTTCTTTCGAGCACGCTACGATAAATACGAAGTTCTGTCACAAGATTTATAAATTATACAATTTTTCTTTATTACTCGAATCTTCCTCTTCCCTTCCAACCTCGTCAATCGAATTATCGAAAAAGTCGATACCGAACAAGCTTATCGAAATCCGTTTCTAAATTTGAAAATACGAAAATAAGTTTTGTTAGCCGAAACTTCGTCGCCGTCGGTCGAACGCCGAGTTTACAACCGCACACGCACACCGTATATCGCCCTTCTCTCCTTGACACCTCGATACACACGCCCGAATAACAACATCTTTCTGTTTTCATTTTCTGTTTGTGTAGCGGAACGAAGGAGCGTGTGGTCGATGGCTGGCAGATTATCCGACAGTTTCGCGTCGAACATTAACCAGAGTGTGCAATAGTAACGTCGAACAGAATTTCCCTGGAGACAAATTGGTGCCGGTCTCATCGGTTCATCCGCGTCTCGTGCACGCTCTATACTTTCTGTGTCTAGTATTCGGGCAGAGAGAGTGAGCGAGCAAGCGAGAGAGAAAAAAGATAAAAAGAAAATATACACAAGTTTGTGCGTGGATTGCTCGAGTAATAGAGAGAGAGAGAGAGAGAGAGAGAGAGAGAGAGAGAGAGAGAGAGAGAGAGAGAG